TTAAATTCATTAATTTCCATCACAATATTAATTGAAAACAAATTCTGTTTCGTCAGCTCCAAAATTTATATAACCAGTCGGGGCTTTCAATGCAGCTATAAATTATATTTAATAGAGCTGCTCCGATTCAAATATTATGGCTACTTTAACGAGCATTCCGTTAATTATAACGATTAGTTTCAGAAAAGCCAATAAAATTTTTAAAACAAATTAGTAAAATGTAAGCAGCTGGTTAATATTTGCATATAAAGTATATGCATCAACAAACTCTGCTTTGCATCCCGGAAAATGCACTTCTATAAAGCTCAGTTTATGAGGAGAAGAAAAGAACTTGTGTTAAATATGTTACTAGGTACTGGAAGTTAACTATTACGAGTATTATTACTTACTAGGCTTAAAGCAGATCTAGTTTAGTTAAAGGCCGGCTTACATTGATAGATTTTATAGTAGAACAGTGCTCACGCTGTAAAAAAAAAATAAGTTTATGTCTACTGTTAGAATGAACAAAGTGTTTGAGGAAGAACTGAAAATGTTGCTATTTTTATTTATAATTCTTCGACAAAGTTTTAAGTATGAAAAAAGACGCCCTTTGTTTATTAAAGGATATGTCGACGTACCTATATAATTATTGATAATAGGAAAATCTTTTCTTCTCCGTTATGCGAAAGAAAATTATTTAATCTTTGACGTTATTTCACTTTTTATGTTATTGTACTTCGTTTAGAAGAAACAAGAGTAATTATCGTAACAATTCTAATTCTACTGCAAAAAAATGATCTAATACAGTACTACACTAAGGGTGGTAACATTTATCACTAAGTAATGCAAGACTATGACGATGAAGATGCCAGTACTGTACTAATTTGATAGTTGTGAAAGAGTTCCATATACAACAAATTTTGAAAGAAAATAAATGTGTCATACAAACAAAACACAAAATATGTCTATTAATGTATTGACATATGAGGATTCAATAAAGGCAATTTATTATTATGATTATTATTATAAACTAGCTTTTAACCAAACTTGAAGACCATGAAGTGAAACGTCTCGATGTTTGTCTGTGGATAGGAGATATGGAATGGAGATGTTTTCAGACGAATCCACTTTTCCACAAATGGCATTGTTGCTTCTCAACATTTGCGATATCGGAGTGCCGAGAATCCTGACCTTAGAAATAAAAAGACAAAAAGTAAATGTTTTGTGTGAGGTTTTCTTTTATAAAATAATACGACGATACTTTTTTGAAGATACATGCAACGGGAACTGAATATGTTCTATACGTTTTTTTTTACTAATGAATTAGGTCACTGGCTTTCCGAAATTCTTTTATTTTCAGAAAGGCAGTTGATACCTGTTGATGGATATTTAAAATTTTTTAATTTGCTGGATACCCCGTACACGAAATATTACCTTTCTCAATGGCAACCTCATTTCAAACATTAGCAGAATTTTTATCAAATGTGCTCTTTCACTCAAAAAATAAACTGTAAATTGAACTTGTTGTTTTCCTTCTTTAAAATTATAAATAAATGAAAGGTATGCAGTTTACTATATTTACCAGCGTGTTAAATCACATACCCACTGGCACTAATTTCGTAATTTAAATAGGCCTAACAATTTACGATTTCTTGGATTATAATGATATATTTGCAAATTACACAGTGAATATTATGCGAATATACTTTAAAATTGTTTTGACAAGTAAGTAGCTATATGAAATATTTTCTTATACACGTACTACCTACTGTATCTGAAATCCTCAGTTACGAGATATTACTATTGTTTTTAGATTATTTGTATTATCCTATTTAAGCGAAAAGGTAAAGTGTAAGTAATTGTAAGTGTAGTAATTATACTCTTATCTCACAATCAGATTAATTTGATGATTAAAAAGCATGTAAGTGAAATTAGTACCTACATTTGCAATGGGGCCTTATTACAAGCATGCAATTGAATAACAGTTATTGATCATATGACAAATATAAAATTCCCCTATAAATCAACAACACAATTTTCAAATTTAATGATAACGTTAATTATAAATATTAGTAAAAGCTAAAAAAATCTCTGAAATATTTCACGTCGAAAAAAAATTCTTCATCGTCTTCTATAAGTTCATGGTAAATTTCGTATCCTTTGCTGAATGATAAATAATCTCCCACCTGAAATGCTGAAATAATTATTGAATCTTCAAGCAAGCGCAATGCCCTTAGCCAGCAGTTCTCAACTTTTATTTTGAATAATAGGTACGTCTCAATCATCATAGGTTCTAGTAATAATTATCTGGTTTCTAATTTTACCTGAGGTTATAGAGCCAATCAAATTTATGTCTTCCTTATTCTAGAAATCGACGACCAAAAGATTTCAACTAGACAACTCTAGACAGTAGGTATATGATTTTTTTGGTTTAGATGGAGAATGGATATGATGCAATTGTGATGATTCTTGTTTATTCTCACAAATATAATGTCAGACTTATGTTTCTTTTATTGTGCTGATCCAATAAACTTTCACTTTGACATAGCTATCAGGAAATAGTATTCTAGAGACCATATGGCTTGACTTGTATTGATCCCCAGCTGGTACAGGGTTTATCGTAATCTAGATAATCAGTATCCCATTCATGCAGCAAAAAACGAAAACTTTGAAGGAAATAATGTATCAAGACGAAACAACACTTGATTACTTGACGTTAACTTGAAGTTTAGATCGTGCTACTTTGACTATACAACGCCATCTTTTTACGGAATATATACGTAACATTATTTTCATAAATCTCAGTGAATTAATAATGATACTAGAGTACGACGAGTATAGTGATTGTCAAATAACTTAATAAATAATTATCTATAAATCCGTCAAATTTGTCATTATGACATTTTGTCTATTGATTAGTTACAATGAAACCAAAGGAAGATATATAGATACAACAGTTTGCTTTGTTTGAAATTCAGTTTCAACCGTGACAGTGACTATTAAAAATACTTAATACAGCACATCGACGTTGTAAAGATTTCAGATTAATCGTGAATATATGTATATTATTATATTGTAGTAATAATACAAACAAAAAGAGAGGTTGGAATTAGTAAACAGAATTTTCATAATTCAGAACTGAAATACATAATCCACGATTGTCTCAAATACAGATTGAAATATAAATAATAGTGAATCTACATCAAATTGAAAGCAAGCTAGCGAGCGATATTGTTAAATATCCGATTTATTTTGTCATACCATTGAATATTATAGCAGTTTTTATTCAATAAAATATTCACTATTTGGTTTAATCGAGACCTTAACTAGTATTTACTTACCTTGGGTGATACGTTGAGATCTAAATATAGAGGCAGAATATCCATAATGGGAGCTGTTTGGTTCAAACACATAAGTGGTAAATTAATCATATTGCGACTATATATATACTGTAAGAAAAATTGAACTTATTTTCAATCAATTTCGTTCAAGAATGTATCAATTTCTGTCCACATCCGATTGAGTGAAATTTTCCTCTATTAGTATGAGAAAATTATCAGTTTTAGTTCAATTAATATCAAAAATGTGTAAAATTATCAAATTGATCAAATTGACCAACATAGACTGAAAATGTACGCAATAATTTCAGTCAATAGATTCACTCCGTACCTTTATTGCTTTCACTCAGATCAATTTATTTGCAGTGTAAGAATCGAACAATATGGCTTAAATATAATGTACCTGAAATGAGAAAATCCGACCACTAACCTCGAAAGCTTGCTGTCTAGATCATTTTAGATCCAAAGGAAGAAAAGTTCCAAATCACACAAAAATATCAGAATATCTTTAATATAAATTAATGAAATAAGTTGGAATCTATCGAATCTGCAGAAATATATCGGTCACTAACGGAGAAGTAGTTTAGAAATTTAGCATGTGTATTTCGTTATTTGTTTTTGCAATAATAAAAAATTATCAATATTATTAATCCACAAAAATGTACTTCAGAGCTAAATGAATCTATGTAGATCTACATAATTTACTAAAATATCACCAGATCAAGTTTCATCGCTCTGTTTTAAATGAAGTTTATATAGCTTCAAGAAAAGATAAATTTTATTTGACACAAAACTAATACAGAAATGGATATTATTCACTTGAGAAATTAAAAGTATCAGATTCATTGATTACTGTCCATTCACTAAATAAAAAATATATAAACTACACTATCTTAATAACGACAGTTATAAAATTGACTTGGGTTATAGACCGCGTCGACTGGCAAGACAAGGTCAATGTAAAAAGTTTATTAAAATAAAAATTCTAGTAGGTCAACCCAACTTACCGCTTAATCAGCTTTTTGATGATTCCTGGTAACAATTTACAGTAAAATGTAAAATAATTATTAAATATACCTGTATTCAGTGTTCAAAAAATGCTTCGTAACTCATTTGTAACCGTTTATTAATAATTTTACAGTAATTGAGGCATGAACAATGTACAAGTACGTTTTGTTAAAAAAAAAATAATAGACAATTATCTACAGGGATCTACATGAATATTTACAAATTGCCAATATACATGCATTAATAAATTAAAAACGAAATAAAAATAGAAGACTATGATCTGTATAAATTAGGTATATATTACAATTTGAGATACACTACAATGCTGATTTTTTTATGTACATCGTTGGAATAAATAAATAAAAAATTAAATATACCTACCCTAACATCTATCACTGGCAATTAAATATATGTATATTTATATATAGAGTTCCAGTTTAAAGATATGTAATATCAACATATAAATAAATATGTACAAATATGACTCAGTAACTAAGTATTTTAAATTCGAAATCAGTCTTTCTTGAAGAATTTCACATAAAGTTCATAATACTGATTGTAAAACATTAAATAGATATTTTATTTAAAACTTCACTTTCTCTTAAATTGTTTTAGTACGAATAAAACAGTAAATGTTGAAACATATAAGCTAAATAAAATTCTCGTCGTATGAAATCCAAGGGAAGGAATTTCATTTGAAAATACAATGAATATGTATAGTTTAGTGCGAATGAAAAATTAATAATTTTGGTAGCCAGCAAAATCAACAAAATATCTATCGAATGAAAATTTTTAACTTAAGCAGTTCATACACAGGTGTGTATCGTTTTCTTTATTCGGCAAAGGTCACATTTAACCTCACAACACCAATGAAAAATACAGTTACATCTTTCAACTACCACAACTTCTTGGGTGCGATACCCTCGACCACAGCACATTATGTCACAACCGTCAACACCCATCGAAGTATCGTTGCACTGTCTTCCATGGGTTCCCTGAATACCCAACTTCGGGTTCTTCTCGCAGAAACCAGGTGACATCTCGTAGTAGACTAAGTCTTTCGTACCTGGTGGTTTGTGATCTGGATTGATAGGCTTCAGTTGGAAGCCGTACTTATGCTGCTTCTTCCTATTTTCTCTTTTGGAGTGGATGCTGTTGGATATGGCATTTACTTTCGGGTTCTTAGGCAGTCGATTGCTGTGGGCCTTGTTGGCGTTCCTATTATGTCCCGTGTTAGAGGCTGTTACGTGTGATGCGCCATCGAATCTATCTTTCAATAGATCCCCGATCACTCGGAAAGAGGGAAGTCGCATCCAGCAGGTTTTTACCGTGCAAGAGCCGGACATTCCGTGGCATTTGCACTCCTGCCTCATCTGCGATTGAACGTGCTGCAACAAAAAGAAAATTAGTGGTTTTAAGGTTTTTAAGGCTGGTTTTTTGGATTGTTATGTCGTGGCCTGTATACCCGGTCGTCACCAGTTACAGAATAACCTTACACTTAGGAATCTTTGTACTGCCTTTGTTATTCTCGGGCTAGGTTTTGTGGAAGCGGAGCAGCTATTAGAACCCTAAAGTCACCAGTGAACATGCCGACAGTGAAGAACGGCGAAACGTTTGGAAGCATTGAATACGACCAGTTGTAGAGGCTACTACGGAACGTCTCAGAGGATCACCATTACCTGACATGCGGTTACGTCTGTAGCAGTCTTAGACCCAATAAAAACATAAATGAACGTTAGGACGGACCTAGGGGGTTCTAATTGCTGTTAGAACTTCTAGATTCGCCTCCACAGAGGCTAGCCCGAGAACAACAAAGGAAGATCAAAAATTCCTAACTAAGGCTAAGCAGTGAAAGGTAATTCTGTAATTCACAGGCCCCGGCACAACAACCCGAAAAACCCATCGCCATGATAAATACTTATTTACTTATGTACAACAATAAATATTCTGTTCTTTTTCATCTTTTATGAATCCAGTAAAACTAATTTTAGTAACTTCAGGAAATTATAGACGTACAAAAATGATTTAAAAATACACTGATAAAATATTACTTGATTGAATTACTAATAAGATGCATTAAGTAATGACATCATTTGCAGTCAACACAAACTTTCAATTACTTCTATGAACTTAAAATGTCATTTTCTCTGAACAATTTTAACTGATTCAGTGAAAAATAATAATGCACATAATTACACTTCTCCGGAAGAGTAGTTGGTAAAGAAGTATGCAGCATTTTCATGCCTCGTAATAGGTTAGTTATGTTTTTTTTTTCAGCCTGAACCATTGCTACACTTCATTGTTTAAGAATTGTTTTTTTAGAGAACTTATGTTAATGTGTGTGTTTCTGCACCAAATCTTTTTGGATTTAGGTGCAATGTTTTCACATGATATACGATTTACTAATTATTTGATCATTTTTATGTAAATAATAATATAATAGGGGAACATAAAATGAAATATATTGAGTTTTGGAAGTACGACAAAAAATGTTTAGGCCCCCAACAAAATTTCAAAATTTTTGTTAATGAGACTAAATTCAAATAGAATTATGCATGATAAAGTGTTTAACAGCCTACTTAAATATTTCTTATTATTAGTTGCAATCGTGCGAGTTATGATACGAATGATAAATGCATTTAATTTTTTTGTTAATAAACGGTTAGTTTTAAAGCAAAAAAGTGAGAGGTAAAAGCTTTAAAATAAACCAGGCTATCTGATACCTATTTTTGAATATTTAATTTTTTATCAAATAAAAATGTAGCAAAAAATTGCTTAGGACATTCAACCCCCTCCAATTTTCTAAAATTGTTGGGAAGTTGCACATGCATCGGTAGAAAATTTGTGTAAAAATTTACTATTAATTTTTGAGTGCCAAATTACAGCCGCAATACCGTATTTTTTTGGAAACTTTTAGAGGCTGTATCTCCCAAAATATGAATATTTTATTAAAGTCATTTTTATGCAAAACGTGTTTTTTAGCTGTAGAATCCGGTACCATTTATGCTACTTCTTTTGAAAACATCCTGTATAAAATATTTTAGATCGCTTATTATATTTCTATATTTAGAATGTTAGATTTTAACCTTTTTTAATTTTTTTCTCTTTTTTTTGGTAGTTAGCGTTTATTTTTGTTGTAATAATTATTTACATATTTTCTGCACTTTACTGTTTTTGAAATAAAAAGTGTTATTTTAAGATAAGGTATTACTAAAAAGGTGCGTACTTTTTATAACCTGTACAACTACACCATTGTAAAAACATGTCACTCAAATTTCACTCAATTTTACTCAATAATGTATCAAATTCTGTTCACACCCGATTGAGTGAAGTTTTAATGTGTACAGGATGGACCAATTTCGACACTTTATACAGGTTTCCCATATTTTTGGACGAGAGGAGAATGCATGAGGATTTATATTGTATAACTATGAAGATGTACTAGGATTTCTTGAAGATTTACAAATATTTCCTTTATTAGTACCTTTACGAGTGACGGCTCGCGAAAATTAATGTGAGGTTAATTTTTGTTCATGGAGAAACATATTTTGGAAATTCCATTTTTCAAACTTCATATTGCTAGAACTTCAAATGTAACTGATGATTTTGTGAAAAATAAGGAAACATATATGTTTGTGTCCATCAGTTGATCATAAAAAAATATTTTGTAAATATATAGCCAACCTTTTTCGAGATAATTCCATCCCTTTTTTAATTTTCATTTGGCAAATTTCGTTCGAAATTTTTTCGTCTTCTCTACACTGTAAAAAATTTCGCTCAAATTTCACTCAATTTTACTCAATAATGTATTAAATTCTGTCCACACCCAATTGAGTGAAATTTTCACTCTATTACGATGAGTACAACTGAGTGAAATACATATAAGAAATGAGCGAGTTTTACTCAAATCCGAGTTAGGTACTGCTAAGTATCAATTGAGCGACTTTTGACTCTATTCTGAGTATATAAAACCAATTTAAAGTTCACTTTTTCTGTAATATGATTTAAATTTAACTATTATTGAGTAATTTTTTACTCAGACTTGGTTTTTAATTAACTAAATATTGAGTGCAAAATTAAATCACTCATAAACGATTAATTAGGATATACAGTGTTGAAATTAATTCACTTCGCGCTTCGCGAGGCCTCCTCCTGTCATGGCTGAGACCCGCCAGCTGAGATCCGCCGCCGCCGGCTAAGGACTGTTCTCCTGGCAATCACGCTTTTCTGGAGCATCTAACGGGCACCTATCAACTGTGATCGAGATTACAGAAGCAGTATGTTTGTGGCTCCATTCAAATAACTCGTAATGAGGACATTTACTCTTATTTAGGTACAAGTGCACCAAATACGTGAAGAATTTATTCAAGGAGTGCCTATATTCGAGTGAAAGTACTCAGTTTTAGTTTAAATATAATCACAAATGAGTAAGATGATCAAAATGCCCAATATTGAGTGAAAATATACTCAATAATTACACTCAATGGATTCACTCCGAACATCTCGAGTTTAATTGTAATAAATTGTAATTATTACAAATATTTTTTTGAAACAACTTAGCTAACTCTAGATAAAATTTAGATTTGGTAAATTTGCAATAAAGATATTTCAAACTCTAGACTTCAAGATTATTAGCTGAATTTTTGTTACAATTGACATCGGTTTCTCCCATCTTGTATTATGATTTAAATTTTGATTAAATATTAAATATTATGTTTACTTAATTAAGGATAATACTTTTATTAAACCATAATTCACGTTAAAAGAAATTCTCTTTGAGCTAAATGTGGAATATATGAGCCCTGTCGAATCCAATAAAGAGATGCATTAAAAGGTAGATGGTAGGTTTCAATAAATAGTGAAAAATCTGGATGGTTCAAGTAGTACATAAATATTATTTATGCACCATTATAGCATTCTAATGATGACTGGTGTGAGAAAAAGGTATGATTTATGCAGAAACTGGTCATTACTACCGGGTGGTCTTATCGAGTTATATTAAAATGCATATTAACTTGTTACTGGCCGCGAACGCCGCCCATTACTAATAAAGTGACATTCGCTTAAGGCGTTAAGTCGCTGAGTAAAATTTTATTAACATTGATGATTGGGTGCATTCTCAAAAGCGTTTCACTTAGTCTACCCGCACACGAATGGTTATTAAATTTAAGGCATAAAACCAAAAACTTAAACATATTCAGTTTTAATAAATAAATTAATTAATCATGTTCCATGGCTTAGCGTTTTCAGAAAATTTTATACAGGGTGTTCCTTAATGATATGCGAATATTTAAGGGTGTTGATTCTACATGGTAAATTAATGATAGTTTGCTTTATAAACTGTTGTCCAAAAATGTACCGTTTCGAAAATGCGGAAGGAAATTGATTAATTGATTTTCGAAACCGCTTGAGATTTCAGAGATATTTAGTACGTACGTAGTGATAGATTCGAGCAGTTAATAATGGCGCATGTTTTTCAATACAAACATAATTTTTAGCTCTAACGTGGCGTGCGTACGAGCGCTGACTTGGATATTTTTAAAGAAAAATATGATATGCCAATGGTTTTTTTTCTCAAATAAAATTATTTTTGAAATCCCGGTTCAATTCGAAATATAAGAATTCTCTTGAGTTTTTGTCCTGCGATGCGCCATTTTTGGGTAAAAAAACTTACAGAATTATTAATAATTTAATGGCAAAAATTAAATACATTATAGGTTGGTACCTGCGTGTAATGAACAACAACAATTACATTTATTTATTTATTTTTTCACTTCTCTATCTAATTGGGTGGTTTGCTACCAGTAAAAAAATAATTGGAGCAATCAAAGATCACAGAAGAATATATTTAAAGATCTTGCAAGACTTCATTATCAGGTGAACACTAGAAAACCACTTTAATTTTTTACTCTAATGCAGCTTTGTAATATAAAGATGTAATTTTCATTAAAGGTAGGAGAAAAGATAACCGAATCAGAAAGATCTCGGGTTCAAGTCTTGTAGCTGGATTATCTAGAACAACTGTATTTGCAGAGAGAAATAGGTCGCCTCGGGATGAAGACCGTTGACTTGAGTCAATGCAATGAGAGAGAATTATACCAGTCGGCGTTTGATCGTCTCTAGTCAATGAAGTTTTTCATATTCACTTAATGATAATAGCATCATCTACTTGCGTATTCAACTTCTTGATTAAACTTTGCAATTAATCTAAGGGGCAGAAATATGTATATTATCATTATCGTTATCGTTATAGTTATCATTATCATTAACGTTATCATTATCATCTTCATTATTATGTCAGATATACAGGGTGTCTCACCACGAACTCCATCGATGGATATCTGAGAAACCGCTCGAAGGATTATTTTTGAAATGTGATGGTGTGATA